CTAAGGCTTCGTTATATGCCACTGTCTTATAGCAGATAGTTTTCAACTTTTGATTATTGCTTGATTTACTGTAGGTATGAAAACTTTTAGGAAACTGCAGCAGCTGACCACATGGTCACCCCCTGGCCAAAGCGAGGGGTGACCTCCAGCCTGTTTGGTAGCCTAGCTTGTAGCCCAAGCTACTGTTGCATTAGTAGCAGACTGCATTTGGAAGACAGTGTGGCTGTAGCTAGCTTCAGTTGCTGCATTGGAATGTGCATCTATTGACATTAGGTGACCATTGCAGACAGAACTTATTGTGCAGGGGGAGACTGGTGTGGCGAGATCAGGTGAGTATGTGGGCTCCTTTGCAGTACTTTTCAATGCGGCCGCAGAACATAGGATTCTTAATAAAGACTGAAAGTAGATGGCAGATATTTTCTGGCACCTAATATTTTGACAAGCCTTGCATGAAAGGCTTTTCTTTTTCTTACCTGGAATATGGGGCTGAAGTATCAGACTGCCCGTGATGTCGCAAACAAAAAAGAATATCACCAGAACATCTCTGTGCTAATAGTCGCTGACAAGATGAGAAATGCAGGGCATCTCTTAATGCCCAACCTCCAGCAAGCACTTATCGCCTTTTCTCATGCTTTCGCTCTGCGTAGATTGTTGAGGCTTGCAAGATGCCAAAGCATTGCCAAATGTAGGAAGCTCCTCCCTGCCATTCTCGTCTTACATTTGGTCCTCGAGGCACACTCCAAGTTGGTACAAAAACATGTGATGGTCTACTGAACACCCAGACACAATTCGAGCGATATGTTAGATATCGTCGTTAACGGAATGCGAATGGCTGGGAGTGTCTTACAAATGTCCGGCCTCTATGCATTGCCGAAGGTAGGAAGCTCATGCTGGAGGCAGGGAACTGAGGTTTCTCCCAGTGTCCTCACCTCGTGAGCGACTTTTAAAAGTGGCAATGCTACACCATGCAATAACGTTTTTTACGAAACCAATTTGTGGTTGATCTTATCAAAAGCATGTTATAAATCAAAATAAATTATATGAACTTGCTTCAGTCAAAAACAAATGGTGCTGTGTATTCAAATTTACATAAAATAGTTTTTCCTGAGCTACCTTCGAAAAAAAATTGCATTGAATAGTGCCGCTTTTTAACTGGAGTAGAAAGTCCCATGTCTGTGTGTAACTATCTAGACACTTTCAAACGAGCATACAGTAAGGAAACGAGGCAATGAATGTCTACCCTATACATGTCACCAGCGTCCTTTACTTGTACTACGAGACCTCTTCCAGCACAATGGAAGATCATGATTTCTCGGAGATGAAATGCATGCTTGAATAAAGGGGCAAACAAATCGGCCGCCCTTAACAATGAAACAAGATATAAAATCTGCACTCACAGAAAAGCCTGGTTTTAATTTCTTTATTGCTTATAACATTTTGGTATCAACTGGATTGATTGCTGCAATGCTATTAGTCAATATTGGTGAAAAAAAAGATGTGCTTGCATTGACCAAAGTGTGAACATTGTAAAAACATTTTTCAGCAAACACAGATCTCCAACAATATCCGGTCCCGCTGAGCAATGGTAGCAATACATGTACAAACATTCTCACATCTAGGTCAGTTGACAAGCTTCTGAAAACGCCAGACGCCTTTTTGCGGTGCGTCTGCTCAGTGGCGCCTGCCACACTATCAGCCCGCCCTATGGACAGATCCGGTGGAATGTTCGATGCACATTACCTGTAGTGAAAAGTGATTTTATTGTGGTTCTTATAGGCTCTTGGGCACCTGTTTCCGCATTTAGCGGTGTTGCCGTCTATGTAACTACCTCGCTAAATTTAGCGGGAAATTGAATTGGTGTTGAGGTTACGTGACGTCAATTTCCCCCCTAAGTCTAGCGGAGAAACTGAATTTGTTCATGGGTGTTAGTCATCCGACGTCATTTTCCCCACTAAATTTGTGTTGGGTCACCTGACGTCAATTTCCCCGCCAAATTTAGCAGGGAAACTTAACCCACTAAATTGGGCAGGAAATATAGCTAACATTTTCTGCTAAATTGGAGGGAAAGGAGATGTAAACCCTCCCCTCCTCGTCAAGTGCTGTGTTCTCTTTTCGCATTACAGAGAATTGTAAACGTCTCATTTTTTTTAACGCTGCTCTTCCGTGGAGCTTGTCAACCGATAGATATGAGAACATTGGCGTGTACCGCCTGAGCGGAGACATCCGTTTTCCCAAGCACCGGTTTTGAAACCCCCCTTTTCTTGAATCCTTTCAAGAAGACGCTCAGTTAAAGGGCAACTCCACTCCATACTTTCGAGTTTGGGATTATGACTGTTTTTAGTGCAGTCAGCGTCCCTGAATTGCAAGGTGTCACTTTTTCTCGTTATTGTGCGTAGTTTTAAAGATATCGACGCCTTAAAGTTTTGTTTGGGGCGCGGCCAACAAAACCGAAACTAGCCGCTAGAGGCCCCGGCAACACTGGAAATCAGCCGCTATGTGAACGTGACGTCAGGATCGTTCTCGTTCAACGAGTACACAGGCCGAGCGGCACCTACTTCTGTTGCGCTAGTCGTCTAAAGATAGGAAGTAAGCCGATTTTGTTTTAATTCAGTGTACGTGGTAGTTATCCAGCATATGTAGCAAGAGTTAGTGCGTATACCCAAAAGCTAGCGACTGGAAAACCCGTGAACTCGTACGGTGCCGTACTAGGCGGCCGTCGCCGTGCGTGCGCTATGCCGTACCCGTTGCTTGTATACCCAAAAGCTAGCGACTGCAAAACGAGTGAACTCGTTCGGTGCCATACTCTGCGGCTTTTTCCGTGTGTGCAGTCTTCCATACTCGTCGCTAGGCCTGAATTGTCATCGGGGCTCCGTGGATGGAGCGGCGTTGGTCTACGCTGCGCTGCCGGTGACGTACAGTACTGGAGGTCCTCTCGCTTTCGCGCGGCGGGTCAGTTTGAGACACGAAGCCTCAAAGCCCGAACACATATGTGCTGGGCTGTGCGCGTCTGTATTTTCTTTTTTGTTTCCTCGGGCGCGTAAAAGCCGGAGTCCAAAGTCCATTTGCTGAACAGCGTTCACCCACACCTTCTCCAATTTCCGGTCCGTTGGAAACTTGTGAAAAAGCACCTCCGTGCTGCGCAGCGGGTTGTTTGAGCATCCCACAGCGCTACAAATTTCATTCGGCATCTTTCGAGGAACTGCTGGGCAGTCTTGGGCGCACCGAGTTGCTCGCTAAAACGAGTCTTGGAGTCCTCGCAAGCAAATAAACAAAAGGCTATACCGAAGCTACATGGGCTACAGATAAAAGCAACGGCTAAACATGCCAATCACAAGCCAAAGTAGCGGTGGTAGCAGCTCAGAGAAGCGCACTCCGCGCAACGCCTGGACCGGAGAAAAAAAAAAGAATGATACTGACGTCACGGCCCAATGTTGCTTTAGCGATCGGCCGCCCGCTAAGGAGCAGCGGCTCGCGGTGGGTCGCATATTTATCATCAGCATTAGTTGAGAATGCGGCGTCCCACGGACGTAATATTTTGGCTGGGGTCGTATTTTGTGTCACTACAGCGATAACAGTAATTTATTTCATTTTGAGTTTTGGCCGGAGTTGACCTTTAAGAGAAAATGGTGACAAACAACCTTTTAGAAAATTTGTTTTTAGAAATACGCAATCCACTGAACTTGGCTGCATGCTCTAGCATTTGCTTGTTCCGCCTTCGCCAATGACAAAGCCGAGCCGGTCAGTCAGCAAGTCGGTCGCTTGGGCGGCCAGCATGTTCAGAGTATGATAGACAAGTTTTCGTGCAAGTCACAACCCTGCTGTTTTCACAATAATAATTTTACGTTCTGCCTGGTTTAGGGCCTAACAAAGAAGAGTGGGTGCTCAAAGCATAGGTCAACAAGCCTCACTGAATCGTGCGGTAGCCTTTAGCGTCTTTCAGATTTGCTTACGACGATCGAATGGATTCACTAAACGGCGCTCCTCTACAACTGCTTGTTCTAGGTGCAGTACATTCTATTAGCATAAAATAAAGGCACACAGCTAAAGCACCTCAGTGATGCCTAGCAGGTAGCGAAACAAATTTCTCTAACAAAGCGTGCGTGGTTACCGAGACATCACGTTATTCGGAGTGCAGATGCCGAGTATAACCACTGTACAGCTTTGTCTCCGTATTTGCATTATCTTCCAAGGTATTGTCCAGGTACAGGCGGCACTGCCGAGCAGACAAGCAAATAAATAAATATTTAACAAAGGGTACTATTCAGTTTCGCACCAGCACTATTACCGTCTTGCTTCGGCAAAACAGAAGCGGTCCTTGCAATTGCGCAACATAAAAAGAATAGTGCAGGTAGAGCTGCATGGAACCTACGTTTCTGGATATTTGCTAGCAAAATAGCAGGTAGTGAAAACAGGAAAATTAACCAGAAAGTGTGATGGGTTTAAGAAGGAAAGAAACGTAGACAAAAGGCAAGCAGTTCAGAGGAGACGACCCACCGAGCTCGACCTAACGCTGTAGGAACAATCTGAACCTGAAATACTACTTTCTGTACAAACACAAGATACCCACGATATTACACGATAAATAGCCACCAAAATTAACGTACCAATTAGGCAGTGCTGTTCGTAAGTCGCGTAAATCGCCGAAGTCACAGAACGTTCACGAAACAAAACGGCCATCTTAAAAAAAAAATCAATAGTGATGGTGATAGCGATGGGTCTTCTGTAAAAACTCCGAGGACCAATGTAATCACTTTTTTTCGTTTTCTTGTTTTAATTAATGTAAGGAACACGTATTCATCTTAGCAGAAACTAAAATCATGGCAACAAAATAGCCTAAAGTTTGAACATTTAGTTGTGCCGAAATACACTTTGTAATGTCTATAAACCTTGTTTCAGTAATTAAATGCAAACAGAACACAGACTTGAGAGAGAGAGAGAAGTGTTGAAAGGAAAGGAAGCCTGGAACTTACTTGGAAACCCTTGCTGATATGATAGCCTTTCCTTGCAAGTGTGAATGGTCAAGAGCCGATGCAATGATAGGCTGAAATACTTCGGGGACAGCATGCTTAAAGTGGCCAGAAATATTAAACGGGGTATATCTATCGTCTTTCCATCAAACATTTCGGAGTTTAATCTTCTCAATAATTACCTTCTCGCATGTTTCACAGTAATCCGAGGCATGGATTCACCACACTATTTTTGTCAAGTGTGGCATGAGGTATGCACCACCATCAGAAAAAAATATGACAATTTATTTAATTACGACAGGAAGCCACGAAAGGTGAAGATGGCAAGACCCGATCCACCAAAAAGGAGTGGGCCTAAGAGTGCAGTCTTGGTTCATGATTCACGACTGTAACCTATGATGAATGCAGAGAACAAAGGAGTCCATCGGGTCAACAGGAACCATTATCTGACCCGAACATGCAGGGCAATGCAGAGCAGGGGCAAATTTATGGGTCAGCCTGCGGGGGAAGAGAGATGATATCATGGGCAAAATGTTGCCCAGATCTGTTTTGTTAACCTAATATTTGTTATGTCACTAAACACCAACGTTACTAAAACGCTCAGTTGGAAAACTCACTCTTGGAACCTGGACCGCTGGCGTTCACCGAGACGAAACTAAATACGATAACAGCGCCACCCTTTTGCGACGAATTAAAACATGCAAGTTGTTTTATTTAGCTACTGCAAAATGACCCTGCGAGATGGCACCACGTAGAGTTCCTGTATAGGCTCTTTACAGGAGCCATAGTTGCATGACTGTTTTCCACGTACCGCCGCACCGCTACTCACCGAGATGTGATCATGTGAGGAGCAGACTCAAATGCCGTGCACGAAAGTACACATTGCACGTACCCTGGCATACGTTCCCCTACTTTTGAGCGCACCGTGCTGCCATTCGCTGGATTCAGTCACATCAGGAGCAGGCTCCATATGCCGTGCAGGAAAGACGGCGCTATGGAGATGAACACGCAACTCTGGCTCCCGTAGGGAGCCTATACAGGAACTTTAGCGCCACTGGCTCTTCTGCGACTCGACGGAACCACTAAGTGTAGCCGTGGAGTTTCCTTAGTGGCTGCTGTGGGAGAAATGGCGGCGTTGCAACAGACTTCTTCCAAAACCGACGTGCCCCATCGCGGTGAAATACCACGCAGTGCCCTCTGGGAACTAGTTGGCCAATTAGTTTTGGTTTCGACTGAGCAGCTTCATCTCATGCTATCACGCCGCGACCGAATACGCTGCTCGCGTTTTTGCTTATCTGAATTTTTTTACGAATGTACAATACACTCATTCTCGAGCGATACAAAACGAAGACCGGGGCACTTTCCTTGGTTCCAAAAACACCGGATATTATGCGTGCATATGCAAATGTAGTAAGACGTGGCTTAGTCACGTCACCCCACGAGTGCATCTTTGAGCTCAGTGTCAGTAATCTTGTCCAGTACCACTGAACTACAACTGAAATTTGGTCACCTTGAGCCCTACACATATTTTGTTTGCCAAACGTACGCTTCTTGTTACTTCATTGGGCGAAAAGCAAGCCACATCCTCACAGGAGTATCAAAGTTGAGCCCACCGTTGGCGCATTAACTTTTAAGGAAACACATTAAATTCAACCTCACTACTACATAAAAGGTACTATGTCTTCCTCGTGTCATCACATATCTCACACTCAAATTTTAAGCTGATAGAAGATTAAATTTTCGCAAACGCTAAGATCGGCTAGCTACGACGGGGGCCCTAACAAGCGTCCCCTACTCCTCACTAAGCCTTCTTGGACGAGCTTTTACTAACGCCCAAGATCTGTGCCTGAACGGTGTGTCTGAAATTATCTTGGCATACTCAGTCAGGAAGAAAGCAAACACATAACAAATATTATGGCTTTTAGCAACTGTCAAATGCGCATTGAATAATTTTGTTCGTTCGGCGCACCGCAGAATTCATGCCCGTCCAGTGCACTTCCGGTGAACGGTGCAACATTGTTCACACAAGTGCTCGACTTCTGCTTTCTTTTTTTTGTATGTGCGAATGTACCTATATTATTACAGGATAACTTTATTAGCATACGTGATGTTGAATACTAGTGGAAGGGGAGCGGGCGGGTGACTTCACTTCGTCCAGTGCTGCGGGGCAGTACAGATAAGAGATGAGAAGTGTGTTCGAAGGGAGCTTTTCAATGGCGCGTCCGCGTTTTACTTCGCATACTCAGGCGTATTAAGAAAAACAGTAATTGCAAAAAGTTATATTTCGTCTATGGATGCACGAAAAACAACAACAAAAAAAAAAACAAAAAAACTTCCTGATCTACAACACTAATGTAAAGGCGCGAGCTCGATGTATGCATACTTATTGGTTGCTACAGCTTGTTGATTTGTACACAAGCAAGATCCCCCAGCTTCGCAGCGTCAAGATTCCCAGCACTGGCTCGTCCACATACCTCGAAACGCTAACAAAAAGGCTCAAGTACAAAAATACAACAAGCATTTATACATCTCAGGCTTGTGCTAAAGCTTCGAGGTCTGGCCATTTAGGTTAGTTTAAAGACCACAAATGGCATTCTCGGGACCAGAAAATATGAAATAACGGCCGTTTATAGTCCACACTCCGTGTATAATCTCTTGTCGATGTGTCCATCGAAACCGAAACCATGCCACTCTCCTCCCTGGCTAACTAGGTCCCAGAGTGCAATCCGTGCCGTGTTGCATGCAGGAATTTATGGAAGTAGTCTATTGCGTTTAATTCGGTTCTCGAGTATGGATGGAAGCCACTAATCATTTCTTCCTAACAAAAGCTGGCATATGTAGATTTTTCACTGAAAAAAGTTAACCCTGGGGGCCCTAGTCCCCCCACCCTTAAAATCTGCCCATGATGCATGTGCCAAGAAAATGAGGGAGAAGAGTGGAAGAGAGCACGCGGGGACGTCAGGACACCCGAGCTCTGGTTAGAAGGATTGGTGGGTACACCTAAAGCTAGCTGCCTTTGTCTCCACTGCACTCGTCGAGGACGTTTGAATGCGAGAGCCAAACACTGGACGCCCGCATTCTGCAGTCGAACGTGTTCAACGAGTGCAGAAACAAAGGCTGCCTTTATCCCCACTGCACTCGTCAAACGCATTTGAATGCAAATGCGAAACGCTGGACACCGACGTTCTGCACGTGCAGTACAGACAAAGGCAGTTAGCTTTAGGTCTACCCACTAATCGTTCCAATCGGAGCTCTGCGTTTTGACATTCCTGCACCCTCATCCTCTCCTCTCTCTCAATTTCTTGGCACATAGAGTTCTGGAAGTTTAACAACAGTGGCTAGTGAAAAATCCGACATGACATCCACAAAAAAAAAAGCAGCTTTCTTTGGAATTTTTTAAAGGTGTTCTAAATTGCACAGCACTCATAGGATCTCTTCGCACTTGACCCGTCGCCCGTAGCACACTTCAGGACTAATCGCCAGACGAAAGTCAATTCAGAAGACCGTCCCACACGATCTCGCAGGTCCCCCGAAAATGGGAGACGTGCAGAGGAGTGCGAGAGTAGGCCAGCAGGGTGGCATACTCTCCCTGACACGATTCGGAACGAGCAGGCTTAAAGACAGACGACTCCAGAAGGAACGTCCGCACGTCCGCAGCTTACGTTCCCTTGGGGGAGGGAAACCAGTGGCTCCCACAACAGACACTCACTTTTCCATTAACAAAATTATTGAGACTTCTTCAATACAGCCATCAAATAAAGCAATCGTGCTCAGCTGCTGAAGAGCTGCGCTTGTTTTGACGTTCAGTAGGTGCACCGAGAACTCCAACTGAGTTACTCCGTTCGGAGCTGAGGGAGCCGCTACTGGACGCACCATCACCACTACTGCAAGGGAGGTCACGTGGAAATATTGTGTCCCTGAACTGCTCCTGCCGCTTCAAACACCTTAGAGTTGTCAGAGCTGCTCATCGGTTTCAAGTCGTACCCAAACCCAGCAATGCGTGTCGCTGTGGAGGGGGGAATAACTCATCAGCTGCCCAAAAACTATATGAGTAACTTATCCCATGAGTAGCGGGCCTTATAGCAAGCTCGTTTCAAACGCACTGGCATTATGCGAGTCATCTCCCAGAGTGCACCGCACTCGCGGAGTGCCGCATGAAGAACCGGTCTCAAACTAACTTACCGAGTGCAGCCTGATGCTGTCACCATTTGCATTGTAGTAAGAGTGCAGACCTCAAACTGAAATTAGCGCTCCGCTGTTCGACATGACGGGCAGGAATGCGATTGTGAGTTGCTGCAACAGGCAGTTTATATCTGTGATGACTTCAAACAGCTCGGCTGTAAGAGATATTTACAGATGGCATTAGTTCCTGTCACAAGCTCAGTACAAAACAGCTGTAACTTTTTGTTGAACGATACACTGGAAAAAAACTGTTTGCGCAAAAGCTTGATCAGAGCAAACGCAAGAAATTTGAAGGCTAGGCACGCCTTGCGGAACAAAAGGATGCCCACACGACGCTTTCTCTGAAGCATGCTCCTTCTGTACGAACAGCCCAAGTTAATTTTAGGGTTAGAATATTGTTTGCCAGCTTCACGCTATTTTGGATGGGTGTGAACTTGGTGGCGGGCTCAGTCTCGTCGTAAAGCGGTACTCGGTCTTGTTGACTGATATTGCCGTTTCGTTTGACACTGCGATGTGCAACACTCTCGAAGCTAGCTAGCTGTACGGCACGTTTCAGTCTTGATTATCGCCGCTTGTCCAGAAAGCTCTGCGACACTTGTTACAAATCCAAGCTATTACCCTCTAGAATCCAGACATAATTTTTAAAAAGTGCAGGACTGTGGAGAGGCAGTGCAACTTGCTTTGATCAGAATCGTGGTGCGATCAACAAGAGCTTGTTTGACTCCTCGTCAAGTGACGGCATAGTGACTCGTGCCCCCGAACGCTTGGATGCCCATCAAGCACCAACGTCCTGGACACATTCTGTTGGAGAACTTTTGCAAGTGTAATCCTAGGGCTACCTTTGCTGCTTGTAGTGCTATTAGAGTTGGAATGAAATTCCATGTCCAGCATTGAGTCTCTGCCATGGTGTTTGCCAAGCTGAAAAACTGTGCTTCTGTGTTAGCAGCCAGTCAAACAACAACTGTGCCAAAAACAGCCCGTCGTTGAGAAAAGGGTGAAACTTCCTCATTTTGAATGTGATTCAGCTGCATGAGCGAGAGTGCTTGCCAGGGTCACGGACCTGCACCAATAGGTTTATTCCCCTCAAACTTTTTGCTGAAAAGGGTGTAGACCTATATTCAGGATTTGGAACAGTTTGATTTGGTGCTCGGTCGTGCAGTCACTCAAGTCCGGAAATATAGGGACTACAGGTCTTTGGGCTCTTAAAGGGGCCCCCCGGAGCGTTCTGCGATGGTCTATTTATGGCGGTAACTCAATCTACAGGCTCTCAGGATCCTAAAAATCATAAAATTACGGTCATGCGTGGCGGATTTCCCTATTAAAGTTGCTATCAAAGTCCCCGGCAGGCCCCCCCTTGTGAGATGACCCCGGAAAATGGGAGGGGCATCTCTTTATGCGTCAGCCAATAGCAAGTGAAGGATTCTGGCGTCTCTGCGCGTCACCAACGCGGCCGACCGCCGATCCGCAAAGGAATCTCTCGAACACGTGCGGACCGTCGTCGTCAAGGAGCCCGGACTTAGTGCTCGGCAGTCGTCGTTCGTCGCACCGCACCGTCGCGCTGCTGCTGCAATACGCAGTCGCATTGCACAGATGACAAGGAAAAGTTTGACTCGTTGACGTGGAAGGATCGCAAAGCTGGCTTCGGAGTCAGGATCCATGGGAAGAAGGAACACGTGTCCCGCAAACGCACGCCTGCAGACGCCCCGGGAAGCAGACAGCCGACGCATCACCCCCTAGCAAGAAGCTTGCGGGGAGAAAACATAGTTCGCTGGTTTTGGAGCGATAATTGCGGACTATGTTTCCTGCATCAAAATCATGTTACGTTTTTCTCAAACTCTAATTTAAAACAAGCTTAAAAAGTGTTGCAATAATAACGTTCGCATTCACCCCGAGATGCAGCATTTCCATTGGTCAAGTTTTAGCGATGGGCAGGGAATGGGGGATTGTCTTCCATGAGAAAATAGTCCCGATATATTTCTTCTGCAATCTGCTTAATAAACGGTTTTGTAATCTAAAACTTTGGATACATATTAACTTGCACCTACTACGCAATATAACAACATAAACAGACGATCGCAGAAAGCTCCGAAGGGCCCCTTTAAGGACACCGAAAGAAGGCAACAAAAAGCTAAAATAGGCACTCTAAAAATCAAACCTTTATCTGTTTACTTTGCTCACCTTCTGTGATGCAACACGCCATCACATTCTACTCCGTTTCACCTTGTGTTGTACCGCAGCCGACTAACGAGCCACCGGAGCCAATCCAACTCTTTGTCGTTGCCAGATGACACTGTGCTCGACGTGCCGTTGCGCCCAACGGACAGGCCACGTGACACACCTTCGGCACTGGATTGGCTCCGATGGCTCGCAGCATTCAGAGTAAAGTGCGGTATTGCATTTTGTGCTCTAGTAACCCACCACTGCCGAACTGCTACGCCAGAAGCACTCGGCAGACCCCACCAACTCTGCCGCCCCTACGCTCCATTCACCTCTACGCTGACAGGGCGGTAGGAGCCATGTGGTTGGTGGGCCAAGCTTTTATTGCCTCATGTCCGACCTGCCCATCGGTATGAGAAAGGGGCATGATAAGTGATGCAAGACTGACAATCGGCTGGTTCATTGAGCATGTAGCCTCCAGTGCCCTGTCAGTTAAGGGGTGAATGAAGTCTAAAGTTGGTATATAACAGCCTTCTACTGTCCCACTCAGGCATGCCACCCTTGACCAGTCCAGTCGTTGATCTTTAAGCAGGGTTAAGCAATGACTGCCTCGTGCCACCAAACATGAAGGTGTCCACGGAACAAAGCCGCATTTGTGTCAACTCGCACCTTTGAGAAAATTGGTCCTGCCATAACCCACACCTCGTCGAGGTAGAAAACTTTAGGGCCCTTTATTTCCTGTGTTGTACAATACCCCAAGAGGTACCTCTGTTGAAACGGGACTATCTTGACCCCCTCGATCAGAAGCGAGGCCCCTTGCGGCCATTCAGCGCCGTCTACTCATTCATGGATGTTGCTCCTTTCGACAAAATGTCTGTGGCGACAGCTGGAGCTAGTGAAAAAGCGGACACCATAGCTCTTCCCAAAGCACCCTGTTCTTCCTCAAGAGTGGCTAGTTCATACAGGAACAGTGCAATGGTGCTTGGTGGTCTGTGATCGCAGACCACCACCAAAGGCGGCGGCGGCAACCCCCCCCCCCCCCCCCCCCCACTCAGGTGACAAGCATTTCACTCGCATGACGTGACTCCAAGCCATACTCACTATGGCTGGCGACAACCCATAAAAGGCATGCGCTGGCCCTTTGACCCACGCGGAGTGCAGTGCAGGAAGTGGAACGGCATCGGTGACCCAGTAGCTGCAGTTACCCAGAACTGTTTTAATGCTTTCTCGGCGAAGGTGCAGGCCCGCTGTTTGATGCACGTAGGTAGAAGCCATCAGCTGCAAGCATCAGACACCTGGGGTGGAAAATTTTGCACCCAACAAAACAATAACCATGAGAAGAGTGGTCTAGCCAGTGAATTGCAAAAACATTAAAGGAAGCACACAAAAACTTGTCTTGCAAAAACACAAAAAGCAGGCACATATAGAAGTATTTCTGTTACCTCGTCTCATGCTCAAGCATTATTTTGGATAGTATACATCAATAATGCCTGTCTCGCAGTGGCTTTCTGAACAAAATGTAGTAGAAAATACAACCAGTTGAATACCAAAAAAGAAGTAGAACAGAGAGGCACTTATTTGTTGTACTTTAACATGCACATTATGGAAGAGCACAACTCTTCACGATTAACCTGTAGCAGAATCGCTTAGCAGTTCTGCTGCAGGTGTGAATGTACCACGAGGAAACACCATCGCAGGCCTACCAGGATGAACAGTAACATTATTACCCGCCACAAATTCGACGCGCCGGGAGGGAAATTCGCGAAGCCTGATCTGTTTGTAAATCCCGTCTTTCGACAGAACGCTTTTGTGACTGCACGAGTTCGTCAAAAGCTGACATTCCCAACGCGCTTGGTCCTTCTTTAAGTGCGATTACTGAATGCAAATGCGGCGCAGGCGGCACCCGGGAGCCACATGCCACTCCCGTTGATTATCTCTACTATCTTCTTTGTCCCCGACGCTACGTGAGGTAGCCAAGCGCTATCAAATTCCACCACTGCGGTGTCGCATCGACGATCGAACGCCACCAGAGTAGGTAAATTCCACTCACATTTTACGTTCCGAACAAGCGTCCCACGGGCCTCCATGTAGCGAGACGGGGCCTGCTAGCTTGCATAAATGCGCTGTGAACTTCACTGCCGACGCTCGTTCCCAAGCATTGAATATCACGACCAGCTCCACTCGGCAATACGGCGGCACATAACACGACAACGTATAATACAAGAAAGACCGCTGGAACCGACGCGACCGCTCCAAAAAGCACCCAACAAACACTTGGAAAAACAAAAAGTAAAAACAAAAAATAAAATTGAAACAAGCAAAAACGAACAAAACAAAAACTTTCGTCACTTCCGGTTTGTGTTGTTTTGCTTGTTTTTGCTTTTTCTCTCAGCCAATAGGCGTTGCAACCTTACTGCGGCGAAACGCTCGTCCGCTACGGCATGGTTTTATAAAAACAATATTAATTGTTCCGCAAAACCTTGCGAACTAAAGATGATAAAAACATCACGCGCCCATCATTTGGTACTAAACTCCAATAAATTTCATACAAAAAGAGTCTTTTCCGTTTGTTTTTACGCAAAAAACAGGCTTTCAAAAAGCTCGAGGTGACCATAGCACAGACAAACGAAAAAGAGTGGCGCTGTTGTCGCATTTAGCTCGGTCTCGGTGGACGCCAGCGGCCCAGGTTTCGACGGCGAGTTTCCCAACTGAGTGTTTTAGTAACGTTGCCCAAAACCTACTCGCGTTACCTGCGTCCAGCACATCCCGCGCATCCAAGTACTGCGTGCATCCCTGCCGATCTTTATGATCCCCGCGCTCCGCCAGCGCCGCCAGCGCGGCCATTGGACGGCCATCTTGCATTCAACAAAATCGCGTTTTCAGTAGCGTTGCAGAGGCTCGCGGCTGCGTGTTCGAAAACACGCTTTCTACTCAATCGTCGTCATCCGCTGAAAAAAGATATATAAAACACCATACAAGCGGTGAGACTTACCATTGAGAACACAATAATATTTTTACAAAAGCGCAGTCTGCAGGAAAAGGCCACAACTCGTCGAAAGCAAGTTTTGCGAGCCAGCTTTCTTGGCACGCTAAAGTGCTGAGTCTCTGTGCCTTCATCCCGCTTGGGTACTGATCAAGAAGTGGAGCCGCGGCAAGGTTTTGAAGGTGTGTCGCGCGTAATGTATTTGCATCATCGACATCGAAGAAAAAAAAAAGGGGGGGGGGGGGGGGGGGGCACGAGTGAGGAATCTGTGTCATGCAGTATCTTCAGGCCGTTTGTGTGGAATAATTCTCTCATGTGTTTTTGTGTGCTTCACTGCCTGTCCGTTTGTTCAAATGAAGTTGAGAAAGAGGGGCACATTTATCAGTTCTAAACATTAGCAGTTTCAGTTATGTGACAACCGCAGATGTGGTACATAACCAAGGAGGTTAGAAGTACTAAGAGGGGGCACGTTGCAATATTGTTGAAGCCTAGTCATAAAAAGTTTAAACGATGTTGTGGCCAACGTGACCGTAGATCTCTCTGGCGTTGGTGCGCGTGACATGTCACGTGTGAGATGGATGGTTGATTATAGAAGGACTCCTTGCAGGCTTGCGCGTGCTCCGTCCGGTAGGTTTTATCAGATCGAAGGCCAGACTGTGGTGTATTCTAGTACCCCATAGCTAGATGAAGACTAGCTAAGGTCACGTGATGTGGTCACGTTGGCGTGGTAAATGAGGGGAGTTAGGAGGAAAATGAGAAAGAGGCGAGGCGTCAAGGGAGCATGGCCTGTGGAGGCTACGCGGCTGGCGTCATGCCCTCACCTACCCTTCTATCCTCCTTGTACGTAGCACGGTCTTCTTTTCTCGGGAGCTTTCGGTACTTTTTAACACGGTTCGAGCGCTTGAACTTCTTGCGTAGCGCAAGTTCGTCTGCTTCTTTCTGCAGGGGTCAGGGGCGAATGCAGAGGGGGGTCCGGATGTCCTGACCCCCCTCATGAATTCTGCATGTGTAAAAATTTAGAAAGTGGAAACGGGAAAGAGGGGGGGGGAGGAAGTCAAGTGGGTGACCACCACTTGACTTCCCCCCTCCCCCCCTCAAGAAATACCTGCGTCCGCCCCTGGCAGGGGTTGTGGTGTCTTCAGGACGTCTAGCCCTGATGGGCCGAACGATCATGTTGGGTACCATGATGACTGTAACCCAAAACTAAAGCAAAAGAAATTTTTTTTTTTTTTTTTTTTTTTTTTTTTACAGTGGAAGAGAAAGAATTGCGTCTCGCTCTCTGTCATTGTCTTGTTTATCCACGACGCTGTCCGTCCTAGGGTGCCTCAATGTCTTTCTATTTACGGTGATGTCACCTTTTGTAGTACCCGATGCCGACAGCACGCGCTTACGGGTAAATTACAAAGAAATTGACGAAAACGAAATGTCGCCATAGCACAGTCAGCGCCACAGACACATGCACGGACACGCTCTTCCACGCGATTCTGAACAAAAAAGGAAAATAAACGTGTGGGCCAAATGGCCAGATGTCTTCACCCCACCGTGCTCCACCCTAAGCAAAGCGCACATGAAGGCACCCTAGTCCGTTCTTGTTGTTTCTCTTCCACTGCAAAAAAAGAAAAAAGAAAAAAAAAAGAAAATAAGAACTCTTTTTTTTTGTCATCATTGTAAACGTTCACCAGCTCGCCTGCGCACTGGCCGTAATTGCCCCAAGGCAGCTTGGTTTGAGGCGACGTTGCTTCGAGGTCTCCCACTGTCCTTCAAATAGAGCTAATCAGTCCTCGGCATTCGGACATCACCACCACCCGTGCAAAAGAAGCAGACGAACTTGCGCTCCGCAAAGCCTTTGTGCCTCTGTGTTGGTGTTCAGTTAGCTGAGTGTTAGACGTCGTCTTTTCTATTTTTTGTTCCGCCTACTTTTTGGTGTTTCTCTCATGGGAGCCCGACGTTTTTCCTTATTTACTTCTGTGTCGTTGTTCGCAAAAAAATTGCATCGCGCGCTTGGCGGATTGTTCGAAAACGAAAGTGGAACTATCCAAACACAAATGCCTAACACATACAATTTCTGCTTTATCTAACAAATAACGTTTACTTCGTATCAACTAAGTTTTTTTTATTTTTCTGCGCTTTGAGAAATAAAAAATTAATTGACGTTCGAGCAAAAATAACATCGATTTGAACTCTTCGGAAGAAACGAAACAAGACAATCCAATCCAGGTTCCGTGGCTTTGTTGGGTTTGTTCACTTTGTCAACTTCTTTTGATTGCGGTGGATGTCGTGAATGCCCGTGGATGTATTTGAACGTTATTGCGGCTTTCTTTAAGTGCGATGTAGAACGTCGCTACCACAGATCAACGAGATCGAACGTACTCCTTCAATGGGCTTCAGATCCAGGGACATGCGCCCGTCTTCAACTCACACTTGCGTTAGATCGGCGCCATATGAACCCTTCGTGAGTTGTAGCGCGTTCACTTCAGAGTTAGCAACGAGCAGCTTGTGCACTGTGTGTATCTCCTGAGATTTGGACAGTCGTACTCCCACCGAGGGCATCATAGCGCCTACAAAGGTGCAATGAGAAAGTGCTGCGTCTCAACGTGTGGCGCCTGTCAATCCGACGGTGTGTCGCTCTTCAGCTTTCCCAGGAACCCTAGACTGAGGAGGAAATGGATTCGAATGGTCAACAGGGATCGCTCTAGTATCTCCTGTTCCGCCGTGGTGTGTTCTAGACATTTCCCAGAACATCTTGTAGGGACGAAGGCCAGGCCGCGACTGAAAAGGGGCGCCTTTCCGACGCTGCAGCTCCAAGGAGCGCCGACCGCGAGTACCGGAAAAAAACGACCGCGCAGTCGTGCCGGTGAGTGACCTTTGGTGATCTAGACTTGTCGGTTAAAAGGGACACTGACAGGGTATTTACACTTGTCGCGGTTTTAGTTGTACGTGACATATGATAGCCCAACTACCCAGAACAGAATTTGCGGCTCGAAATTCGGTTTCTTTCCGCCCGAGTCGCGATGACTCTCTTTTCCGTGGTAAAGGGCTGTTTTCTAAGGTTTAGACGCGACCACCAAAATTAATCGAAGTCGTGGGTCATTGAAGGCACACAGTCAGTACTAAAAAATGGGAAAAAAAGAGAAACTTATTTGTTGTGGCTTTCTAAAAGCTGTAAATACGTTGGTTGAAAAAAAAGGTTGCACAGACCACCGGAAGCATTCTGGGCGTTCACTGCATAATTCTCAGCATAACGTCGCTTCGCGTATCGTGGTTCTCGCGGATGACGACGGGTGCGGGACCTCTACGATACCGGCGAATTCTGTCTTCCTTAGAAAGAGAAATTTTGAACCGTTCAAAAGAATTCTTATTGATCCCGTACGACACGCCCGACCAGCAAGCCGATTACATGAAGACATCGTCGAGCTGTCATCCCTTTTCATGGCTGAAGACATGTCTCACTCAAGTACGAAGTGCGTACTTCGAGTTGAATACGCACGCGTATGGTTCCTTTACTAGGTGCGAATGTGGCGAATGCATGGTGCTGCTTGACTTCAAGCCGGGAGTGCATGTACCGAAGGGAAATCGGCAGCAAACTTTCCGACATACAGTCGACCGGCTGCATTACTACGTACGAAAGTGTTCCTTTAGTAGCTCAGTGGAAAGACGTCCGCTTCACACATAGCGGGTACAAATTCAATCCCTAAGGGGTGTACCATTTTTTTTTCAGGCATTTTGCCATCTTTAGATTTCTTTTTTTTACAATTATCACTGAAAAAAACAATTGTTGTGGACAATACGTCGCTGAACTAAATGGTATGGGATTCCATTTTTGACACCTCTGTCGCACAATGCCACTTTCAGATGCAGGACATGTGAGGCAGCTCTTCACGCAACATCTTGGGAGTATTCTTTTCGGAGCCAATCACGGGAATTCACCACGTGCACTCACTACTAATTGCCAACACTTAAATGTACAAAACAACTCAACTTGAAGTAAGAACAGCGAGCGGAACAAACATAAGTGCAAAGGAATCGCACGGCGAATGGATCCCGCAACGCGTTTTTGTCTGCTGCGCGCAAAATAAAAAATAAATAGCACGGTTGGGTGTAGTTACGTGACTTCCGCCACTCACTCTCTCCCCTGTCGGGAATACTTCCCGACACCATTTATTATGGTGTCGGGTAGTATTCCGACACCATAATAAATTGCCTGGAAAAAAAAGAAAAAAAAAAAGAAAATTTGGGGGGGTGTCAGTGTTCCTTTAATTGATACGATTGTTATACTTCGTTTCACATGAGAACACACCGTTGCCGACGTTAGAACCTAGTGGGACCAATGAAGCAGCAACAAAAACGCCTTGCACGTGACGTTATATGGCACCGTACCAGCCGTCATTGCTCCGTACTATGCTCGTGTGAGCGTGAAGAGGGCACCAAACCTGTCTAGAGCGCAAGAGCGGTGCTCTCCGAAATTCGCATGCGACATTTGCTTGCGGACGCTGGGCCCGAGATAGCGCGCCTCTGAGCGTGCACTGCCATTGTACAGCGCGGGGCAGAAGATACTATGGAGTTGGGAACCATTTTGAGGCGACATGACGCCACTAAAGGTGAAGCCGGGGGAGACTTCCGGTTGCTTTAGCGAAACAAAGAAAGGAGGAAACAGCACACAAATTAAAGGGTGCACTCTCCCAAACTGTCGACTGCATCACTGCAGAAAGTTGTCCCCAAGTATATTGTCTTGCAAATTTTTTGAAGATCTTCGGCTATTCCCAGTGTCACTTGTGCAACAACATTTACTTCGAGTGATGCGGAAAATAAACGTTGCTTATGCTTTACGGCTCTTTCAAGGAATTAGCAACTCATTTTAAGCACTTGAAGGCAAGGCTGGTGTTTTTTTTTTAATTGGGCTTCTGCTCCAGGCATTAAGTTACTCAGATTTTACTCTCAAGCAGCGGCAGAGTTTATACTTCCTGGCTTCAAAACAATGAAGCATAAAACAGCGTACCTCAGAGTCCAATTGCCTATAGACCTTTGAAAAAGGGGCCTTTTGGCCGCCGCCATCTTGCGATTCGACCGACCCCTATCGGCCAGAAATTTCTGCCACCCGCCCGAGCTGCAGAAACCCGGTCATCGTGACTCCCCACCTGCGTTATGCATTCGGAGTTCGCCGACTTTTCTTGAAAGTTTTGACTTTATTTGCCTGTTCAGGATGCTTACCCTTTTTGTGTTATCTTCCAGTGTGAGAATCAGGGAATTCCAGGGCTCGTAGCCTGCTCGGCCTTCGCAGGAAATGAACGTAGAGAGCAAACGTCAAGCAGCCCATGGCACAGGCCATTCAACATTCTTCGGGAATTATTTCCGTTAAGATAGTCTCCGAAAAGCCTTCCCGGCTATGTTCCCGGTCTTTGCGAAACAAATAGCTGATGGGATCGGGTTAAGGGTATGGGGACGAAATAGACTCATTTTTTCATTTGCTTTGGTGCTGTGCAAAAGGGCAGCTTTCCTGAAAACGTGCCCCAAATTAAGCCAAATTCCGTCCGTTCGTCTTGAAGTAACTATGGTTGACACTCTATTCGCAACTCCAACGCCCTATAGGAGGCGGGGCGGTAGTTCCAAGATGGCGGAAGAAACGGGGATAGATTCTGCAGGGTTTCACGTGCGCCTGCTCGCTGACGCTGCTCAGTGCGCTAAAAATGATTTGACTGAAAACACAAAGTGGTTAGGGCAGGATAATATTACAGGTGACGGAGGTGTTGATGCGCGTTAGCAAAATGATCATGCTGATATTTAAAAGTTGCAGAAACCTCGCCTTGGGAAGCTTCGTGGCGGGTGAGCGCGTTTTACGTACCGGCCACATTACCGTTTGTGGCAGAATATTTTTAAAGTGATAAAGACATAGTGTTTGCGCTTTACCTGGCCATTAGAGCTCTAAAAAGTGAGCCGCGCACGGTGACCGTCAAGCTTCGGAAGAGCAGCATTCACATTATTGATGCCTTTGTGTCACAGGCTCACAACTCGCTGCTCACCGTCTGGGTTTTAGCGTATTGCAACACGTGATCAAACTGCCCTATGGTTATTGATAGGAAGTTTGTTACCGCAGGCTACCGCGCGGTGTAGCGTATACAACCGGAGGCACGCGCTGCGCCTTTGAAGCTCAATTTGCAGCGCGTGCGAGGAGCGTTGCCGTGCTCACGGTAGAAAAAAGGTAGCCTGCGATAACGCAATGCTAAAACTGCCTATTACCATTATCGGCGTGTTTAGGGAATTAGGGGTTTTATTTATTGCTCTACCAAAAATGCATATTTTAATATACCATACCTTTTTTTTTTTTTCTTTTTTGTACCTTGTTATTTTCAACGTTGGGGTCCTTCTCGCCAAAACTGCCCGTTCTAAACTCTCATCACGAACGTCTGGCTGACACAGACGCTCTTAAAGCTCTTCGGGTATTTCTTTATTTACTTTGTAATTACCTCAAAGCAAGTACGCTTATTCTATCTTTTAAAAGTGCTTGGAATAAATGATCATGTTCATACGGCCTTAAAGCGCAAACCCATTCCCGACGTGTATTGCTCGACATATCGTTGTGCGACCAATTTTCTCCTACTTAGGGCAAAGAATAGACTTTTCGTAGACCGTACGCTAGATTTCCACATTATTAGTGGGAGCGTGCGCCGTCTCGTTGAGCACAGATCGAGCTAGCGGTTATGCACAAGACCAGCAACCCGCAGCTATATCGTATATATGCGATATAAGAAAAGTCCCTAATGAAATTAGACATCCCGGTCCTTCGCGCAAGGCTGTTGCGAGGTGGAGCACAAGAATTCATTTTTTAACACGCTCACTTTTTTCGTTACAGGGTGATTTCAGATAAGATCGACCAAAGGATGGCTAGTCGACATTTTCAAATCAACTGATGTTTTTATATGTTATTGTCTAGTGTCTTGTATGAACGAATCCAAACTTAGTTTTGACTAGAAAAAATACTTGGGGACAGGAAAAATCGTAAGGCATGAGGTGGTGGACAGTTGCATTAACGCGCACTGATGGAGGGGGCCCGTTTGAGAGTGAATAACTAAAGCGATAACATTAGGAGAACTCTAATACGTTTTAGGCGCAAACTATGGGTATAGCTTGCTTGTAATATAAAGTAATCATATTTATTTAAAATTTATTTATTTTTCTAAAAATTGACAAACATGCCTGCTCGAACGACAAATGGCAAACTTTGGAGGTCTGTATCTCATGAAATAATTTAATCATTATGATATAATTTGCAGATATTATTCTACTAATATATAGCTAATATTTAAAAAATAACTAAGGTATCTGTGTGATACAATAGTTAGGATATATTTAGTCAAACATGGAAAAAAAAAATCAAACAAAGAAAAATTCCGATGCAAATAAAAAAAAAACGCCACCCTCGATTTTTTTTAAATTTAGGTAACCTGTTATACTCTATTTCGGCATTCATTTCCATTAAAAACATGTTGCATCATTTTATTGAGAAAGAAGATACAACTCCCCAAAGTAGGGTCCTTTTTCAAAGCCTACACTTAGCAGTGTTTTATACAAGAACTGACTCTGAGTTCCAGTGTCATGAAACCAACACACATCTTTTATATATTTTTATTCAGATGAGGCCAATGATAACTAAAGAAATCGTTCACACACTTAAATTAAGGAGAAACTACTGTGTACAAAGAGGTATCATATTACGGACTAGTGATCCGAGAAAAGATCATGCAGCCATCGGCCACTAGGAACTTTGTTTACTTTATTCTCCTGCGACACTATATGCTATTCCCTCTTCCGCTCTACCTTCATCTCTCTCTCGCTCTCTCTCATATATATCCCTGATAT